ATGTCATAAGCATTTGAATTAAAATTACCATATTGAAATAAAATCTGATGTTTTTTTAATTTTTTTTTGGTGTGCGTTGGAAGAGGGGTAGTCTTATACGGCGAGTATATCCCAAACTCTATATTTTAACTGGAAAAGTTGGGGGGTCGTCTTATACGCCCAGTCGTCTTATACGCCGGAAAATACGGTACTTCTAATTTTGGGCCCCTATAGCCTGTTTTTCAAAACTGCTGAGTATTCACAAATCCAGGTGAATTGAAGTCCAAACAGACATCACATTTTTGAAGTCAGTGGAGTTGTGACCACTTACATCAGGACTGAAATTTTCACTTCAAAAAATATTTCCACTCTATGCTTTTAACCTACAGCAATGTTTACAATGAAAACAGTATAAACTCAGTCAACTTCTTATGAAATTAAACAAGAGCAAATATGTGTGCCTCAGGGCTACTGTTTTATTTTGTTTGCTGTGTTGCTAAAGCACTTCCCATTTATCTATTGTTTAGTAAAAGCTAAGGGCTTTACCTTGCCATGTGTTACTACCTAAAACTCCTACTGAATTTGATGGGAATTGGGAATGGAACAAGATAAAGACATGGCTGTAAGTCACTGTGCATGAAATCACTGGAAAATATGAGATAGAGTTCTAAAGCAGATGAATTTGTATGACTCAATACAGAGTTTGAAAATTTCCAGCATGTGCTGGTACAGAGACTACGTTTTCTAGCATAAATGAGACATAGGCAGTCCTCGGACTTATGGCACAATTGGTTCATAAAAATTGCGTAATAAGTCAAAACGTCGTAACTCAGAACTGCAATCCACTCCATTGCGTAAAGTCGTAACCAATTGTAAGTCGAATCAGGGTGTACATTCAGAAACGTTGTAAGTGGTGTTTATCGTAAGTCGAACATCATAAAGTCAAGGACTGTCTGTATATCTATGCTGCCATCACTCCCCAGAACTATACTTGTTTAGTTAATATTGTTGTACCTTCACAAGTCAGTTCTATTACCCACACCCTAATTCTTAATTCTAGAACTCCTGCTTAGAAGGATGCAGAATTTAATAATTCCCCATCCCTGAATGAACCAAATAATGCTACACCCTACATGTATGTCTAGATCAGTAGTTCCCATCCCTTTGGGTGTGTATTCCCCTATTTGTGACAGGTCTGCACCAGGACTCTTCCATTTCCCATTACTGCATTTCCCTGGTTGTTGTTGTTGTTGTTTGCTGAATCTCTCTCCATCTCCCTCCTTTTTCATCTATTTTTGCTTTACATTTTCACCCACTATCTTCCACTTCTTTCCTCTCTTTCTCTACCTTTATGTGAAGTCCTAATTCTCAGTCTCTTTGTTTTCTAGTGCGAAAGTTGGTACCAGGTGAAAAGTTTCTCCATGGAGTATTCTCCTAATAGAAACAAGTCTGCAGGCCCTTAGTTAAGGCTCTTCTCATGGCTGTTAAATGGCTAAAAGGCCAGATTTTCAAAAATGTATTTAGACACCTAAAGATATAGATAGACCCTAGTGGGATTTTAAAAAGTGCCTAAGCAGGTTAGGTGCCTAACTCCTATTGAAATCAATAGGAATTAGGTGCATAACCTACTTAGGTGCTTTTGAAAATTGTCATCATTGTCAGCTACCCCTCAATACGAGGATGATGTCTGACAGGAGAAATGTCACTGATGAGACTAAAAATGGCTGAGGAATTCAACCCAGGCTCTACAGGTTTTTCCACATATATGAGAGGTGGTTGTTTGGAGAGAGCATAACTGCTGGCTGGGATGCTGAACACTTTCCTTTCCCCCTCTGCCATTTCTCAGCTTCTTGAGCAAGGACATTATGTTCAAAACGGGCTGAAGCTTGATGTATGATGCAACGGCATTGCAGTCTATTGCCAGCCAGCTCTTCCCAGTTCATGACCTCCCTTCTTAAGATACTTTCATGGTGTCCTTGTAGCATTTCCTCTGTCCCCCACAAGTCCTCTTACCATGACTAAGTTGAGAAAAGAGGACTTGTTTCAGAAGTCAAGTATCAGGCATCCAAACACAATGACCAGCCCCGCAAAGTTGATGTTTTATAATCTTCGCCTCAACACTGGTGATATTAGCTGAAGAGAGAATGCTGGCATTGGTGCGACAGTCTTCCCATCTAATATGGAAAATCTTCCTGCGGCAGCATTGTTGGTACCACTCCAGATGTGTAAGATGGCTTCAGTATGTCACCCATGTCTCACACCCATACAGAAGAATGGGGATGACTACTGCATTATAGACCAGAATGTTATTTTACATCCGCAGATCTCTGTCAATGAAGACATGATGAAGCAACTTTCTGAAGGATGAGTTGGCACAATGGATCCTATGTTTGATCTCCACATCTAGACTGGCTGTCTGTGAGAGGTGGCTACCAAAGTTTTCCAGGAATTCACTACTGATGACAATTTGTGAGTGAAGGAAACTTGTGCTGGGGCAGGCTGGTGGAGCACCTTAATCTTGCCAATGTTGAGGGAAAGCCCCAGGCTATGATAGGCACCTGAGAAAAGTCTAGGGTGGATTGCAAGTCAGCCTTGGTGTGCATGAGGATAGCACAGTCATCAGCATACTGAAGGTCAGTAATAACAGTCCTGGTGACCT